CAATACATAACATTTCATGGGTCACAGAGCCTCTAATAACCTGGTGCCAAGTGGGCCTTGGGTCTGATGACATGAAACGGAGCTGCACGTAGGCCAAAGAGTCGCTTGCAGGGTAAATAATCATCAATGTGAAGGATTGTCTCCATTGCAAGTAGGAGGCTTTAACTTATTTGTACACAAAGCTGTATTACAATTGGGTTATTGTACTCTATCATGCTCTATGGCTGCTGTGAAAATCTATCTTGCACCAGAACTTAAACAAAAAATCTCTTTGCATTGAACAGTGTTTGCGGTGACTGATAATTCTGATAAAATAAATGCTTCCAGTAGGATCCAGTGCTTTTGTAATGACATGCTTTGCTGATAAAAGCCCAAGCTGCACCTACACTGAATTGGTCAGCCAGGGAGGAGGAGAAACAAAATGAACAGGGAGAGTAAAACAGCATGTTGGGAAGTTCAGGAATCTCAGGATATGATGTAGTATTTGCCCAGGCCTGGAGGGAAACAACAGGCGTCCCTCAAGTCTCGACAAGGAGAGGGGAAGGAAAGAAAAATGAGCTCTAGGAGAGATATTATCGAACCCAGAACAAAATGACATTGACATACTTATCATACTCCTGCTGACAAAATTAAACTCTCGAGTACAATATTACAAAGATTTCCCCCAGAAGCACCACTGGTCTTTTTAGTGTAAATTCTAGCCTCACACATTGTAAGCTCGGCTGATGCCACAAAACTGTACGTCAGTTCTGGAAAAATGAGAGTGCCAAGGAAGAAATGGAAATATAACACCCCATCTGGGTACTATTGTTCCCCCTACTCTGTTCCCTCCTGAACCCCAGGTGTTTATTTTGAATGGCAGCTCTCTAACTCTTGCTCAGAGGCTCATTTCGTGACAGCTATTAAACCAGATATATGCTGCTTTGCAAACATTTAATACCCATCTAACAAATTCTCCCCTCTGCTCTTACAGCGGTAACCCATACAATGCATGGATGAAGCTCAAGGCTCTGTGAGCTCAGGCGCACTTCACTGTTGTGTTTATGACAGATGACATAAGACAGAGACCCAGAGAACCTGACACTGGATCCGCAGATAAAGGGTCTGGATGGATCATGGAGCTATTGTGGCACAGCGCTCCCAACACAGCACGAAGGGCTTTGGAGTGGAGGATCAGATATATTTCATTTCCTAGACTCAGAAACACACAGACACATATTCAGATGGCCTGTCCCATGTGCGTGCATGTCCTCAAGATAGATGGCAGGAGCAAGACAAAGGAAAAGATATCTAGGTGAATGTAGAAGGTTCGGGAAGTTCACTAGTGACATACTAGGAGAGCAATTTAGCAAACTTAGAGAGCGTGGGTAAAGAAGCAGTTTCTAAATTTGACATACATGTGATGTGTATCTCAGATGCAAAGGTGCTATTAATTCAAACCTTACATCGTTTAAGTATTTTAAGTGGTTGGCTACGTGTTTTCCCACCTACCTTGTATGTGCTATTAGCGTTTTAATGACACAGCAGCCCATTTGAACGGCCTTTGCCTGAAATAGTTTGATAAAAAGCAGATTTTAGGTATTCAGGTAGCAGACTGATCACCAGGGATGATGCTTTTTCAGCGATGTGAACACATTGTTTCTACTGTTCAACTCACTACTGTTGGGAGTAACAATGACTTAGTAGCCACCAAAACTTTCTATGCTTGTAAAATCCTGGTATGATAAACAGTTGTGCAGTGCTTTGGTATCAGATAAGATTTTAAAAGCATTAATCTGCTACTTTCCTTCTGGCTCAGATTTCATATCTCACCAGTGCCTAATCTCCACACCCCCATCAACTCAGTCCTTTGCATTGTTAAACCGCAGGGCTTTTTTCTGTCTAAATGCCCTGTAGAGGGGATCCTGTTGGTGGTGAATGTGTGCCCTCTATGACATTTTCAGTCGATACAGCAGCTACAGTGCTGGTTGTGAGGAGTAGTTCATGATGCTATGTCAATCAAACATATATGCTGATTTTGAAGTTATTTTTGTGTGTCAACTTCTGTAGCTTTGCCAATCTCCTCCCTGCCTCTTGCCATATGTCCTGGCTCTCGCACAGGAAAATGACGTCTCCTAATTCCACCTAAAAAGCTGTATTGGTTATTTTCCCAACTCAAGTAATTGCTGTCAATGAACACGCCCAAAGACCTTTATGAATTGCTGAAAATTCAGTGATAGTGCTGAAAGCGATTTAACTCAGTTCACTGACAAATGACAACGAGGACAGTAGGCGTGTGTGAAATGTTTCAAAACAGAGAGATGATAAACAAAATGACAAAATGCAAATATTTTAAAACAACTAATTCTACAAAATTTTGAGAGCATGAGTTTTTGGGATTCAAATTATTGCACTTGTCTGATCCACTGGACTAAAAATTGTTCTAATAAATGTACCACAGAGATATAGTTTTGCCTACATCAACAACAGAGCACTCTGTATCATGTGATTAACTCTAGGCCATCAACTGTCTGTCTGCCTCTTTATCAACGCCACAATCAGTTAGACCTTTGTACTTAAATAAACTACATGATAAATGTACTGTGATAAATAATCTGAGCCACGGATCATTGCAGTCATCTAGATACTTGACTGTTTGTAGCACCAAGTGTTTCACAAGGTCCCTGAAATCCTGGCTAACTGGGTTGGACTTTGCCCCTGTGGAGTTTGGCTGTAGATATTTCATGTCCAATTTAATATCAAACTGGCTGCCTGGCATGTGCACTGTGAAATGATACAGAGACATTTGTAAAAAAGCAACAGGGTTATGTGACAAGCAGTGAGGGTCCTGGATGCTTCAAAAATGTAAATTATTTTGAGTGGGTAGAGGATGAATTACAGTAACATGCAGCAAAATGTGTGAGTGTAAATGGGGGAGACACAAGTGTCTCTCTGAGTGGTTGCATGACCACTTGCAGGGGTGCTAACAGAAGAGTTTATATTCAGCTGAACACGACGCAGCGTTGTTCATGCATATTAACCTTGATGCTTTTTTGCTTGTTTCTACTCCCCCTCCCCCATCTGGACCTCTCGCATCACTGACCCTTGCCTTGACCTGGCAACATTTTTTGTTTTCTACATCACGAAAAGAACAGGACTCTCACTGGCTTGCTCTTAGGTCGCAATGACAGCACATATAAACAAACAACAATTTGGCATCTTCTCAGACTGCCATCAACTGTGTGACTACATCGACTGTCGTCACTGCATTGTGAGAAAACACCAACTGTCACACTGTGACTGCAGGTCCGTTTATTAAATGATGCCCATTGTCCACTGCGGATGCAGGAGCGTGTGAGTCATGATCAGATCATGCATGATGTACAAGTTACTCCAAAACATGAAACTACTGTATACTACAGCTCTGCATAAGAAGAATTAGAAAAAAAATATGAATACAAATAGAATAAAAACTATTAACAAGACCTAATGACACCAGATAATCAATATTATTGGACACAAATCAGGACCGCGGAAAACAAGCAAACAAAACCTGAGAAAAAATTAAATTACAACTGCTTTTTTTTTTAGAAAAAGACAAATGTGAACTGAACAAACGGCTGATATCTTCACATTATGCTTGATTATATTCAATGCATGCACACTAATCAATATATATCCAACATATACTTTATCTACTATGTTATTTGGTGTGGATTGGCAGGAAATGCTATTGGTTTTGCTATTGGTGTGCATTCCTGCACACTGGTTTAGAGTAATGTAATGAATACTGCCTTCTACTGTGTATTATTTCCATTCTTCTCTGTATCCTGCACCTACCAGTTTTCTGTGTGCTACTGTAGTGCAAAATTTACCTCTTGGATATTTTAACCTTTAATCTTAAAGCTGGAGAAAAGAACTTTTGTTTCCCCTCTCTGGCAGTGAGAGTAGTTACGCAAACACTGTCAAAGCATGATGACGTATGCCCTCAGGTGAGCTTGCTGCATCTTCCCCGTCCCCAAGAGCGCTCTCCTTAAGTATTTTCTGGACTTAAATCCTTTGAACACCAAGTTTCTGTTAAATCTGCAGCATCTACTCTAGAGACGTTTCTTGAAGGATTTTCTGCCATACTCCTAGCTGATAAATCGCTGCTATGGTCTCTCCAGTATATTACAGTAAAATAGAGAGAGCTTTTGCTGGCGGCAATAGGTTTAATCACCACTGTGTGAACTTGTCTGACAAGGACTTGAATGTAACAGACGTTCATTTATATGCAAATGTATAATTATAAAATGCAGAGTATGATAAGGAATATGGTGAAAAAAGATGAAAACAGTAAGTTGTCATTTTGTCACATTTAAAAGATTGGGTTCCTTAAATCAACACAGTAAAGGCAGTGCCATATCCTGCATGAGCTTCCTTTTGATGTTTTCACTGAACAAACAGGAACCTACAGCAGTAAAATGGCACACCTCAAGGAGTGGTGGGATCCACTCACAATATGGCACACAGTGCAGGCCTGGGCCTATATTTAGATACATACATGTACTTTGGCTGTTGGGGAAAAAGCCAGACGAAGCTTTTATGTTATTTATTTGACTACATAAAGTAAGACATGAACTTTTGTTTGAAAAAGAGCGGCAGAGGCACAGCTGCTGCCTGAGGACTAAACACTGCCGTGTGAATGTGCAAGAGATGACGAGGTCAAACAAAAGAACATTCCTGAAAAAAAAAAAAAAAAAAAAAAATTACAGAACATCAACACACCTCTACTGCATCAGTGTCAATTTACAACCATCAATCACTACTACGGGCCATGACAGGGCACATTTAAACCCAATCTGAACACAGCGAACAGCTTGTTAGATCTGGAACTTGAGAAAAATGATGTTAAAACTTTTGCGAATTAATCCTGGCAAACCCTGATGAACTGACATGTTCATACAGGCACAACAGACAAGTACAATAAATATAAAGTCATTCACACATGCAGAAACACAGACACACAGTGGGCATGTTACCATGTCTCCAGGGGTCCTTTGGCTCCACTGCTCCAGAGATAATATCCTCATCTGAGGGAAATGTCACCCTTTTGCCACTTGGTTTGTGTTTATCGTCCTCCTCCACTGAAGGGTACAGTCCAGCCTGGTTGGTAGCAGAAGCTTCTGTGATGCCTGTCTGGCTTTCATCTGACGGTCTCTCTGCCATGCTGCCAGCTGGGACATCCTGAGACATGGACTCTGAGTCTAAAGTATTGTCTGAGAGTGATCTGACATTAGTCGATTCAGCCTCCAGCACTCCACTCTCGTCGAGACTCAGATCCACACCCATGTCCATGTCCCCACCATCGTCCCCTTCTCCCACAACAAACGTTGCAAGTTCAGGGTCCTTATCCTCCTTCATTTTCTCCACCCCAGTATTGTCCTTGTGCTGCTCATCATTAGAAAGTATCAAGTCTGTGGGATTCACAACCGCAGGGGTGTCTTGAGCACTGCTCTTTCTATTTCCATTGACCTCATCAATTTCCAGTGTGACTTGTGCCTGGTGGTTGTCCTCCTCGGCTGTCTGAAGGTTCTCAGTGAGCTGAGGCATCAGGTGCGTTTCAGAGGCCTCTGTGGGAACAATGTTTTGTTTCTCTGTGGTGCTGTCCGTCATCAGTTCAGAGATCCGGGGCGTGACCCCTTCTGTGTTGTTGGTAGTGTTGTGATCATCGTCTACATTACTTTTTGTCTTGACATTGCACAAATCTAAACGCTGCTCTTCGATATTCATGTTTTCATTTCCAGTGGAACTCAGTCTTCAACTGTGCCAGACAGCCTAGATAATATTGGGTTAAACAGTAACTAGGAACCAACTGACATGGATAAGCCTGTCTCTGTCCTTTGTCTGATAACAATAAATGTGCACCTATCTTAGTCCCTATCTGATCAAATTATATTCAAGTGCAGTCAGAAATATACCTTTATCTAACTAGTTTGTTGTAACTGGGGCGATTTGTAGTTTTCACAAACCTCAAATCACAGGTGACTTTGGTGCATCCTTAAAATTAGCTATTTAAAGTGCAGTTTCACACAAATATCAATACAAGTAATATGTGAAGTACATACTGTTTCAGCTATTATTTATCTGCCAAACCAGGCAACTTTGCTCAACTATCACGCGGGCAGGCAACCACCACCTAATAATTTCTGCCAACCGTGTCCTGTAGCTCCGAGAGGGAACCGACGAAATGCTCACCAGTCGTCAACACATTGCCAGCACTATTTAAGAGGACTAGGGCAGTCAATTGAAACGAACAAGCCACTCAGGGTGCCTCCATTACGCTAGCAAAGTGAGCTTACTGCCCGACAGCTAACCGATTCATTTGCATGAATTTGAGCGAGCTAATGTTAGCTAGCTTGCTAAAGTTGTTGCCCAACAATGACGTCCAGGCCTGTCAACGGTCGCATGCCCGCTTCTTTAAGTGAGCCCAACTGTTTCTCCCCGACAAAGTCCATTCTCCTGTGTCAAGAGAAATATTTTTCCGGCTGTGGCTCTTGTCTCACCCTCTGTTGTGCTGCAACTCGGCTCACATCACAAACGACAGGCGGCAGCCAGAAAAAAAACAGGCGTCACACTCCGAGCAATGAGCATGTCTCGGTGGCTAACGTTAACGCTCCCGAACCGTACCGAAGCTACAACCTGCCGGTACTGTTAACGCTAACTGTTATGAGATTATAACAAAATGTTCCCACCGCACAGCTCTCGCAGTTGTCTCTCTATCCGGGAGAAGTACGCTGAACCTGTTTTTGTCCCAGCGTTACCATTCGCTAGCTTGTTGAAGTCCAACAACTGTTTGTTGTTCACACGTCTGACGTCGGCACGTCGTGACCCACCGGGGTGCGTTCAACACACGCACTGTTACAGAGGGTTGCAAGAAAACATACACAGAGGCAATATTTTAAAGATTTAAAGGAATATTTAGGTTATAGCTCACAGGAAGGCTTACTTTAATTTTAATTCTTCCACTGCAATGTATGTCTAGGCTTATATAGAATTGATCTGATTATATTACTGTACAAATCCCACATACGTGAACAGGAAATGTTTCAATTTTGCCCACATTACAAAGTTTGTTTTTCTGTTTATATTATCAAACTCCAAGGAAAGCAGTGACCAGAAAGAGGTCAACAATGTCATGAGAAACCCACTGCCAAACATCAAAGTTTAAGCAGTAGGCCTGTATTTTATTATATTTAACTGTCTGCTTGTTGTTCAAGTTGTGATGTGTGACTGCTGCACATCAATTTTGTTGAGAAAATCTTTTGTCAAGTGAATTTGAAAGTGCTTGCTTTAGTGGAGAAACAGGGCTCTAAATGTGCACATCAGATAGTCCCCAAACCTTCCAAGCTGTTATATCTTTAGCAAGCACCATGCATGTTTGTCTGGCTGGATTGGGGTTTAAACGCTCAAGTTCTTAGGGAGATTGCTTTAAAAAATAATTTTGCACTACTGGACACTTTCAGGAAATCTTTTATAGGCCAATTAAGACCTAACAGATTTTTAAACTACATTATTTTCAAGCTAAAGTTTGCTTATCTGCAAAGCTATACAAAATAAGCTTGAACTAGAGAGTTTCACAATACAGGGCTTCTACCTGTTGGGATGCTGCATGCAATTAAGTCTGAAAATCAGGATGTAAAAGACTACATGTTTGACTTAACTGGAGAATTTGTAGCACATGTATAGCTAAAAAGTTATCTGGTTTAATTAAAACCATCTTAATTCAAACATGGGCAAACCTTTTCATTTTAGATACAAGAAGTGTCCCAACTGCATTTCTATGGCAACAATTTGAACTTGATTTCAAACTAAATGCAAACTTTCCCCAGTGAGAACTTTAAAGCCATAAAACCAAATTATGGATCATCATAATTTATAGATTACCAATTAAAATAGACTCCCTTCTTTTACCATGTCCTTTTAAAGTCACATGTTGGCTTGAACACATCCTCCAGTTTAAGGAGGAATCTTTACTGCCAACAGAAGGGGGTGACATGGGCTACATTCAAGATTTTTAGGACAAATCTGAAGTGACCATGAAGTAAACAGCATCAATAAACTGCTGTGACCAGTTGCCCTTCCTTAACATGTGGAATGATGATATCTATTGTGGGGAGCTAAAGCTTGAAATTTAGGACAGAGTTAACATTAAGGTCACTGAAGCAAAACCAGTGTTTTTGTGTAAAGAAACTCATCCAAGAAGTTATGTCACTTAGATTCCTCAAAAAGCATGAGACTTCCTTGGCTACAGGAAATGAAGCATATTTCCTCAACATTCAGAAATTTGCCCAGCTCATTTCAGCTGCCATCAAGACACATGTGGCTCTTGTAGAGCATTTTACCCAGAGTGACTACTGCTTCCACGGCCTTACTGAAGTGTAAAAAGACAAGCATACTTTAAAAACACTTTAATAATAAAACATTTGTAAAAAAAACAAACAAACTTGTACATCCACAATTAAAACTCCTGAGACTGAACATCTTTAGCTGTACTGTCATCCCTGGGCGCCTTGGTCTTCTTGGGGAGAAGAGTTGCCTGGATATTTGGGATGACACCACCCTCTGAGATCGTGACCCCTGCCAGCAGTTTGTTGAGCTCATCATCATTTTTCACTGCCAACAAGATATGGCGAGGAGCAATGCGCTGCTTCTTGTTGTCACGACAGGCGTTTCCGGCCAACTCCAGGATTTCTGCGCAGAGGTACTCCAGGACGGCTGCGAAGTACACCGCAGCGCCATTGCCAACTCGCTCAGCATAATTGCCTTTCCTCAGCAGTCTGTGGATGCGGCCCACAGGGAAGGTGATCCCTGCTCTGGAAGACCGGGACAGTGAAGACTTTGGTTTGGGTGCAGCTTTCTTCCCACGGCCAGACATTTTAGTCTGAGTTGAGAGAAAGGTAATTTCAAATCAATTTACCTCCAACTAGAGAAGAGCAAGTAATTAAAAGAGCAGCTGTGTTTGGACTAAAGGCCTACTGAGGTCATAAGGCTAAATGGCTTTCAGAGCAGCCTCCACAAACATGTTTTAACTTTAGAGTCAGCACCATCTTATAATGCACAATATAGCAAAAGATAAACTAATTCTAGAATCACATCAAACTTGAGTGAACACTCACCAGTATCCTGCACTTCCTTCAAGTTGAGACAGCCGCTTCAAACTGAGAGACTGAACGCTGCCTCTATATGAGTGACGCAGTAATTGTTGATTGCAGACACCTGGCTCCTCTGCTACATGGGGTTGATCAGCTTTACCTGACAGCCTTATAGACTGTTTGAAATCTCACACATAGCATTGAATAACACTGCAAACTGAGACTTCTCTTAGTTGATGCAAAAGAGTAAATCGTGCTTTTCTGCAAAAACGCACAGTTCCCAAGGAGAAGTCCAAACACCAAACATCTGTGTGAACTAGATTGCCTGAAAGACGTAACTGCACAAGCAACACTTGTAGCTCTATGGTAATTATACTGTGAGTGGCAGCAGGATCACCCAGATGTGCTGATGATATGTGTGTTTAAATTAGCAGAGAAACCTATTCAAAAGTACAGCATGTAACTCTGCAGAGAGATGGTTAATTGTTGAGTCTCATTCCCAGGAGTCAAACACCAGTGGCTTCAGTTGGCAGTCAGACCGAACCACCAACCCAAAGCGACAGTATTGGATGACCTTAGTTGAAGAAAGACTATTATTTGAACTCATTAAACATTCATTCATTCATTTTCTGTAACAGCTTATCCTGTTAGGGGTCACGGGGGGGCTGGAGCCTATCCCAGCTGACACTGGGCAAGAGGCAGGATACACCCTGGATAGGTTGCCAGACTCACAGGGCTGACACATAGAGACAGACAACCTGCATGCCTTTGGACTGTGGGGGGAAGCTGGAGTACCTGGAAAAGGCCCACGCTGGTACGGGGAGAAGAGGGGCTCCCCTACCCTGGGTTCGAACCATGAACCCTCTTACTGTGAAGTGACAATGCTAACCACTCGAACACCATGTCGCTTATTTGTTTATTTCTGAACTCAGAATTCAAAGTAAGTTTCAATCATAGATAGATTACTGAATGGGCCTACTGGACCCAGGCCTAGGGGCCCAAAGTATATGGGGCTCCTCGGCCTTCACCTGCGAAATGATAACAAATTAACTGGTACTGACCAGGAAGAGACACAAAATGATCACTGAAAGATGCAAAGGAACTGCAAAGAGACACAGAATAACTAAAAAGGGCAAAGGACCAAAATTACACACACTATGAGTACAAAGAGACAAAAAAAAGACACAAAATAACTTCAGAGAGGAGTAAAATGACTATAAAGAGACACGCATCAACTGCAAGGAGACACAAAACATCCAAAAGACACAAAATGACTACAAAGAGATGCAAAACAACAACAACAACAACAACAACAAAAAAGAGGCCAAACCACCATAGAGTCTGCGTGTCTTGCTCCTTTTTAGATGAGGTGACCCATTGTCTCATAATCCACCCATGGTTTCACTGGTGTTGAATGAGATTTTGACAGTATAGCATCCCAATCAATCACAGATTAGAGCTCCAAAGTTGCTGTGGGTTAGATTGGAACCAGATTTGAACAAGATCTGAATGTGTGATAGTCCGCTGTGGTACCATATGTAGCTGAAAACATCAAGTACTGCAATCTTAAGTGCTGTATTGTAGGCAACTGAACTTGCTTGAGTTTCTTGAATACGTTACTTCAGAACTTAAGAAGCCTCTTGAATGAGAAACGTCTTCAAGCAAATCCAGTTGCCTATGATGCAGCATTTCAGATTACCATGACCTGGATGACTGAGAATCTTCACCAACATCAAGTACTGCACTTAATTATGATTGGTAGGCCCTTACAACTGATTGTTTCTATTTTTTGCTACTTTAAACTCTTATTCCACAACCTTTCAAAGGCAAATATCACATAATAAAATAAGTATCACTTTTCTTTTTTATACTAACATTTCCTGTTCTTTTACTTAAGTGTAGTATGTTTGTGATGAAAATAAAATTAGCAGCTTTATGTTGTTTGTTTCCTAAACTCCAAATGCCTCCTACTTTTCTACTAGTGTGCTGAAGTAAGTACAGCTATGAAGATCTAAAACAGTAACTATATTGGTTTAAAAGTCATTTTCTGGTGCAGAAGTGTTTTGTGTGCACAGTGTGAGACAATGTCTATTTGAAATAGCCTACAGTGTATACATTTTCTCTGCTAATGGTGTCTACTTTTGAAGAGAAGTGTTAAATGTTTACTCTTGAACTCCACCGTCCTCACTGTGTAAACACCTAAAATAAAATATTTGTTCATTCTGTCTTAAACCCTTTGGAGAAACACATGCATATGAGCACGCCGCTCATGAAACATATGTTCTTTTAAACATGAAACAACATAGCTTGTCATATCCACCCTCACCTGATGATGTGCTGAACAACACCAACAGCAGATGGCAGCACAGACCCCAGATTTAACATTTAGCTTGTTGCAGTTTGTCTTTACTGTTTTTTTCTTTTACTCCAATTACATATTCCTGATGAAGGAGCATTTATGAAACCACACTTAGTGGTGTCATGATCCTTCTCTTTATGATTAGGTGCTTGACTGTGTCTGTCGCCCTGAGCGCCTGATGTGCTTACAAACGAACTGCTCGGGGGGAGTGATGACTCATCTCCTACCACTGTGTACAACTCAGTATCAAGTGTTTCATTACACTCAGTAACAGACAGAGATACACCTGGCCTTTTTCTTCTTTAAAGGTTTCAAAGGCAATTCATGACTTACAACTCAAACTTGGTGTTTTAATAGCAGTAATTCTTGGTGTTATTCTTGTGGAGATTTCTTATTTTAAAGGTGACACACTGCTTAAAGGCACAGTGTGTGGGATTTAGCAGAAAACTGGCAGAAATTGAATAATCACCTGAAAATAAGAATCATTGTTTTTGTTACCTTAGAAAGAGCTGTGTACATGGAGTGGGTCTTTGTTTATGGAGACCGCCATGTTTCTACAGTGGCCCAGAACGGACAAGCCAAACAGTGGTTCTAGATAGTGTCAAACCTCCTGAACATCTGGACCAGAAAAGAGGTGAGCATACAATAGGTTATCAGAGATAAAGGGTGAGCACATAATAAAATGTGGTGGCCGAGTTCCATTACTTCAGACTTGCCAAACAGCGTTGGAGAAACCACTTGGAGAAACACTGATTTGTGAGGTGAAACTGCTTATTTCAGTGTTTTGACTGGTTTTAATCACCTGGTCCATTTGTTTTGGAGAGGAAGAGCCCTCTATGGATAATTAGTCTCCAACTAAAATCCCCGTGAGCAATGAACAATGAAGGAATTCTCAACGGGAGAAGTTTCAGGTGGTGGTAATCTGCAGTCCTCACCATTTGATTCCACTAAACCCCCCTAAATCTTACACAATGGACATTTAAACACAATGGACATTTAAACAAAGCATTAAAGTTAAATTTTAATCTTGGAAATATTAGTATGCCGAAGAAATCCTGAATCAAGGTTCACATACTGGCTTTCTGAATCGTATTACATAGACCTCTGGCTTGCTGTTAGCTCAGTAGCTGTTTATTTTTCATCCATAACTTATTTTGTTTTTCTTTTTGCAAATCCACATAATGCACATCACCTTTTCAGAGACTAATTTCACATTTCAATCGACCTATTTCCATGACATCTGACCTAGCTGGCACCAGACATCAATATGATGTCATGACGTTGGGCTCATATGTTAGACAGATGTTAAATTTTGGTTGGAATGACAATCTGGTTGGCAATATTTAAAATGTCAACAATTTTGAAATTTCACATTGTGCCAATGTCAAAACCTAAATTCAACCAAATATCAACATCTAAAGACACTGGTGGCCAGTTGGTGATCTCCATCTGCTGATAAAGACCATGTGATACAATTGAAGTTAGTACTGATTAAACAGTTTCATTTCAGGGTGGTTGATGTTTTCCAATAAAGGTTAGTGCATACACTTACTTCTGATTTGAGAACATACATTGTTAACATGAGCGTGATGTCTCACATGAAACTTGACTGATTCAAGATACACCGTCACAGTTACAGAACACAGGCCCACAAAGCAGCTGTGAGGACATTTCTAACTCTGCACCACACAGTGGATTCAAGGATTTCTATTGCCAGTGGCATACATGAACTGAGCAGAATGGCCACAGAAGGCCTTCCCTTGCTGAGCTAAAAGTAAATATTTCAACAGCATACTGAAAGCACCCTTACCACATGTGTTTTTTTCAACACGCTCTCTCCATTTCTTTTAGCTTTAATGCAATGACTGGTGCCTCTGTCATTGTCAGTATCCTCATTGCCAAATTTGAAGACAACCAGCTTCGTCCTTTGTACCATTTGCCTTCTCCCCCATATACCGACAGTGAGAGATGGAGGAGAGACACAGAGAGACATTTTGACTGTTCGGATACACTTTAAAACATGGCAAAGAGCCAATCGCAGAGCAGCGGGAAGACAAATTAAGCGGGGACCTTCCCAGCAGGTCGTCCTTGGACAGATTGGATGTGATTCTGTTCAACCTCTCAACATCCTCCCGACACGAGGAGGACAGGACGGGACTCACAAGTTGTCACAGAGCAGTTCCCAATGCATATCTCTACAGCCTGACTTTCACGTATGTAAAGCATACATCGAGCCGGTTCCTAACACAATTTATTTGCACTCAGTGGAAACTAGATCAGCGTATAAGCTGTAGTTTTTCATCATGTGAGTTGTCATCATTGAAACAAGCCATTTGTTTTTTGTGCGGTCCTCCTGAGAGCCGTCGTCTGGATAAAGGCTGAAGGCCCTCTGTATTTATTAGCAACAGTAGCTACTAACACTGAAGTTTGCTGTCTGCTGCCGAGTGAGGAGAAGAGATGAAAGGGAGAGCGGAGGAAGCCACAAAATGATCCAAACATACGATTAAACTCAGAAATTGAAGGCAAAACCAGACGCCAAAGCCCCTAACAACATTTCCTTTATGTCTGCTAACCCATGATGATTTAAATAAGAAAGTTTATCTCTCCCTCATATGCCGTTTTTCACAAAATGGACTGCTGAATTTACAGGTGGGTCTTTGTCGTTGCACCAAACAGGTGGAGGTAAACAGCAATGGCAGCCTCACGTTCTCTTTAGCTGACACACGGAGGCCTCTTCCTCTTTTCCCTGAGCGGTAATAAATCTGTAGATGTGGCTTTTAGGAGGATTGTGCTGTTACTTTGACTTCTAGTTTTTCCCCTTTCCTC